GTGAAGAGGATTCTCTTCTCGCTTTCGTTCGCAAGCCGCACGATATACGAGTCACATGGGGTGGAGGGAGGGTAGCGGCATCGTATGTGCCCCGGAAAGCATCGAACTTCCTCAGCTTATACGAATTTCTGATGATCAAACCAGCAGAACAAAAGTCGGAAGACTTAGGATTTTAATATACACGCGTAATATATACTTCCATAACAGTGGAATACATTATTATATTATTATTATATTAATGTCCGATATTCCCAATTTCCCGAATTATCAACCTTGTTATTAATTCATCATTCTCTTTCTTTATATCATTACTCTAATTACATTTGCTTATATAAATACATGCCAAGCTAACGTTCCATGTAAATGAACATTGCAATAATAAATAATAATTGAAAATCATTATAAAATAAGGATATTCCTAAAATATATTTTCTTTTCGAAAATCAGTACTCACACAATTAGAAAATTTATGTACTTTTATTAAAGAATCTATTGTTTTGTTAAATTTTTATTAATTTTTGTGTTCAATATCTCTATATAAATTTAACATATGTCCATTATATTAATTAGGTTTAACTAATTTAAAATATAAATTTATTAAAATAATTTTTTAAAAATAGTAACATATATATATATATATATATATATATATATATAATTTTTTTAAATTTATGTAAAATTTATGTTATAATTTATAACTGTCGATCGCACCGCTAGAGGGGTGTGATATCTAAAATCTTCCCGTAAGTAAGATTTCTATGTAATGAAACAAAAAATATGTTCTAAATACCGTTCAATGCTCCAATTAAATATATTAGATATGATTAAATATCTATATCATGTATATTTAATTATTCTTTTGCAAAATGTATCAAATGTATCTAATGTACATTGTCTTAATTACAATTTTGAATATTTACATCTATGAAGAATAGGAATAACTTTTAATCTTATATTTCTAACAAAAAAATATAATTTTACACATAATTGAATTTACAATAAAGATTACATTTATTTTCTGTTAAAATATTAATATAATACTAATATTAAAATATTAATATTAAATGATACTAGTATTACCATTTAACATGTCCACATCATTTAATACATCATGTTAAATTAATACCAAATTTTGAATGAATCGTTTGGGACATGTGATATGTATTAAATTCACAAATTTCTCAACAGTGCAATTCTCGTGCTGATGATCATCTAAAACATTTACTTCCCAGTATAATATTCTTAGTATAATAATTAAACAAAAATATATAACAATATTATATACCGTTCGAATTGATTAAATAACATCTGTATGTCAAGAGCAATTAGATAGCAACAATTGTTGACTGGAATTAATTAGTAGCTGCTCTTTAGGGCAAAATATCCAATCAAATCTATTTGCGTATGTCGTGAACTTTTATTAGAAAAATAGGAGAAAATTGATTTTTGAAGGTTTTAAATGATTTGAGAAGCTATCAAGAACAGCAACGTTGGTCAGGAATTTTGCTCATGCGACACCGCTAAGCAGGCAGTTGGGGTGCAGCAATAGACTCAAAGGGTTGTAATGTAACAAAGGCTCATATCCCGTGAGGTCAAAGGTTTCCTATGAAGCCACGAAAATTCCACACCAAAGCGGCGACACACAATTTCCTTAGGTATTCTCATTAACTTTTGGCATTTGCTTTCAGGACTACAATCTGTATTTTATCGAACAAATTGTATAACCGTTAATACTTCAACTTAAATAAATTATTTAAAAAATTTTGTTGTTTTAAAATATATACAGTCCTATTTAAAATTCAAGAAATTTTATATTTATATTTCCAACTTAACATCTTGATTTATCCTTCATCTGTATTCTATAATCTTTTAAGAATTGAAAAATACAAATACACAAGGAAATTGAATTTACTCAAATTCTACACAAGAAGCATGATTATGTAATTAAAATATGACAATAATGAAAATTAAAATCTTTAAATTATGAGATATTCTCATAAACATATTCATTGTATAATTTATTCGAACAGTCTTGACGATTTTATAAATTAAATAGTATTAGTTTATAAAATTATAAAATTATAGATAGAAGGCTTGATAAATATTCGTTTAAATATTAAGCAAATGTGCATATTTGCAATTTCCGCAGTGCGCAAACAACGCTCGTGGGACTGAAAAGCACGTACACTTATGAAAATGCATCGTGCATTAGTCGACGATAAATTTCCTCGGGTCAGGAAAACGAGTGCAACACAGTCTATTATGCGCAATGCTGCATCGTAATTAATATCTGTGCGCGGATATGCAAACACACCACCTGATTACATGATGAAGTAAATCTAGTCGGTTGACGTAGCCGGATAAAAAAAATATGGCATTCAATAGTGCTGCGGAAAATCCTAATTTGATATGTAAATATTCATGTGTAATGTTTCAAGTATATACTTTATAGACAGGCTAAATAAAGTAACGTGTAATTTCACGCTTTTGTATGTACATTTTTATATGTATGACAGTACATACAAAAGAGAATTGATATTAAAAAGTTCGATGTAGAAATGTCATAATAACATCGTATTAATCCGCGGTGTATGCACATAAGTGGACGTTAAATTTATATTAAGTAAACTGACAGTTTATTATATAACTCGATGTAAACAATTTGAGTAATACAGCTAAGTGAAGCACTTAATTATATTAACGCGCGTACACCACGGCTGAACAAATGTAATTCCTAGCAAATGTGATATACCGGGGACATTACAAAATTAATTGTACACGAAAAATAGAAATCTCTCTTTGCCGTTTACTAATTAAATTTATCATAGTTGCCATAAAGATTCTTTTCCGTTTGTACATTTTTGAAATTAATTTACATTAACCGAGATCATTCATATTTGTTCATCGCAATATCGGCTTTTTAACAGAATTAAATACGATTGGTATATCTGATATTTAATACGAGGCTTGAGAATAAAATATTCCCATAGGTTCTACGAATGTGATACACGTATTACAAACTATCGTGATCGGTTTTTTTATTCAAAGTAACTAAATAAAATTGCAATTTGAATTGAAATAATGTAAATAATAGTAATAATTAGTTATTTAGTGTGGATAATGTAATGTATATCCGAGGAAGTTAATCCATTCGCCTAATTTATTGAGTGATTAGTCCCATTTTTTTCGGAAGGATAATGCCACGCAGGTTTATTAACAGGATTGATATAAGCATAGGCTTCAGAAAAGCGAAAGCGTTTTTTAAAGGTCAAGTTATCAGGACAACATGTTATGCATGGAAATTGCAAAGCCTGCAAGAATAAATAAATTTAGCTTGCGTTCGATAAAACTTCGATCACTTGGTTGAGCATCAGGATTTCATCTTGTCAACGGCACGAAATGCATCGCGTACGTATATTAAGGTAAATTATTAAAAGTTAAGTTTAAAAGATATCAGATTTTTAATTAACTGTTACAAATGTGTCAGATAATTATAATAGATGAATAAAATCTTTATAAATTTAAATGGAAAAATAGAAAAATCAATTATTTCGAGCCAAGAAAGCAAATGTTTAAAAAAGACATAAAGATAGGTTTTCTAAACTTTTAATATGATAATTTTATATAAAAAGAATTTTTAAACAATTAACACGTGTGTGTGTGTGTGTGTGTGTGTGTGTGTGTGTGTGTACATATATACAATGACATATATACAATGATAGATCGTTTTTGAAAAAAGGAGATTATAAAATCTATCTGGATTTATGCCCGATTCCACCAATGTAGTTATTTTAATCTCAGTTCAACTTGTTCTTTTTCTAATTCTTAAAACTAAAGAAAGATGAACTAAAGAAAGATGAAGTTGAACCGAGATTAAAGTTAATCTACGTTGATGGAGTCGAGCATTAATATTTATTCTGTATGATATTTATACTTAAAATGTTAATTGAATTCACTTTTGTTTTTCACAATTTAATATAATATAATTATATGTGTTTATCTTCAGTCAATCGATTAATTAATTATAGAAGAGCCGTCAGAATCACATCTATAATGAAATTACTGAAATAGAATATTTCTAAGAATAATCCCTTAATCGATATCTCAATTTACGGAATAAGCAATAATTTTCATAGCAGAAATAATTTGTTTCACTGAATTGTTATCTGTCAGTCATGGTGATGCTGAATAGAAAGTAGTGGATTTAAATATATCCTAAAGAAATGTTTATATTGAATTTTCTCGACGAAAAATGTTATGAAATATCGAGGCAAGAACTAAATGTAAATTTCCATAAATTTCCGGACTAACGATGCATTCGAGTGCAACTGTGAGGGGAGGGGGGGGAGGCGGGGGAGAAGAGTGAGATTTCCGAATAATCGCCTGATAATTCTGACTCAATCAATAAATCATTTTCAGCACAAGCACCTTTCCGTGAGAGCGGCTTTCGCATTCGTGAAAAGGATGAGACAATGGCCGGGACTGATCAAGGCCGTTTCCCATGGATGGGTCGATGACCGGCACTACGATGCTCATAAAAGAGCACATGGGACTCCTTCATCTTCAGTTTCCCGGCAGTTCTCGTACTGCTTGAATCGTTTCGTATTGCGAGCACGTATACGCGACAGCTCTTTTAACTTTTATACAGTCTTTGCACTCTAAATGTTATCCTCATTCGCGGGATTTAATCTCAATTCTGTGATATAATTAATGATATGTATTGTGACAATCGCGCGAGATCATCGTCGCGCTTTTTTAATTTTCTATATTAATTCGTCGAGGAAGGGTTCGTGGAATTTTGTCATGTGTGGTGATAATTTATTAATATTGATATAGTAAGACTTTGCGACAGTCGAATTATTTAATATCAAGCGACATTTTGTAAATAAAAATCCCTTATCGCAACATCTAACACAAAATTGACGATACGATTGATCGGCGATAGCTTATCACGGTGTAATATTGTACTCTACGATATGCATTATGTAAAAATTACTTACCCGATGGATGATTAGATTGCAAATTGTAGTCATCGACTTGTAACGTGCTGTTCGGCCCTGTTCTGGTAAATCTAACCACATGATATTGGTTGTCGTTAACTTTCACGCCAACCTCGCCGATCGGATGATCATTGGTGCCCATATTATAAACCGCGAAAACGTTACCTTCCACCTGTGTGTGACACGAATGAATTATTCACTTTTGTTGCAGTTAAATTTAACTCTTGATTAGTGTCTATCAGAATAGATCTTTACGATAAAAATTTACAGAAGCAAATAAATTAAAAGAAACGCTTGAATAATCATTACGCTAATTTTTATCTATAGATCTTCCTATAGATTTAATAATTATTATATTATAATTTAAATTTCATTTAATAGCTAATGATTGACTTACAAATGCAATTATATATTTAATGTATTAAATTTATTTCTATTAATATAGATTAAGTTTAATCTTGCTTTAATTCTTTATATTTTCCTAATTTTTAAAAGTAAAAATATAAAGAGTAAATTACAGTTAATCTATATTGATAAAAATGGGCGTAAATGTATATATATATATATATACATATATATATATATATATAATAAAGTAATTACATACATATATAATTGTTATATTATAAATTAAA